CATATGCCAAATAAATATCGAAAGCTGGGAAAAACTTTAAGAAAATTCTCAAATTTTTAGACAGACTACTAGCTTCCGATATACAGACATACTGAATACTAAGGATATCATTTTAAAAAATATTCGAAACATATAACATTGCAGTACAAAAAACAGTGTTTTAATACTGCCGTTTTACGAAGGAAATGCAATAGTTTTTACAGCATCATTATATTACTTACAAATTTATAGTTAGTTGAACTTTATTTTTCCATTAATTATTATTTTTCAATTAATTTTTACTAATTAAATATAAATTAAAGTATTAAAAATCTTTTAAAACTACCTCAGTTAGTTTTCAATCTGTGCATGATAAATATATTTGAAAATTTATACTTTAGTGAAATTTCCTTAAAGCAATTTTTATTAAAAAAAAAACTTTTGTTCTTCCTTCTATTTTAGTGCTGCCATCTATACTCAAAGATAAAATAAAATACTGTCAAAAATGACTTTACATTCTACAATTTCAAAAATTAAATCAAATTCCTTTTGATGAAAAAACCTAGAGTTCATAAAAGATTCATTTTATGTAAAAAACGTTTATCAAATATATTCCAATTAATACGGATTTTCTGTGAAACATTTTTTCCCTTTTTATGGATTCTAATTACCCTCATCATAAATAGGAGGTATAAATTTGATTGTTTCCTATTATTTAATTATAAAAATATGAAATCACTGAAAATAAATAAGTGAATAAGAAACAAATTTTCCTTAGAAGAGATTTGGAAAAAAATATTACAATATAAAGCATAGAAGTTTCCACCTTTGAAAATTGAAAATAATTAAGAGCAGTACAATCGTTTACAATCGTAACGATTACAATCGTTACAATCGTAGTGATACAATCGTTTTCTAAAACTGAGGACGATGTAAATGCAATGCTATATATTTAAAGCAGCTAAAAATGGAAGGCAACACTATATTCTTTTCAAAACTTTCTAAATTTTTAGCTAATTTTATAAACTTTTATAATCCTTATTTTTAGCAAATTCTTAAAAATTACGAGATTATAATTTTGCAATATTTAGTATCATTTTAAATTACTAATGACTCATCCTTTAATATTAACTTCATTTAGTAAAATTAGTTCTACTATTATAATATTTATAGTCGAACTTTGTTGACAATTAGCGAATTTTTTCATAATTTTTTGCAATGCAAAATTCATTTCGAACTGATTTTACATTATAAAATGAGCTACGAAATATTTATGGAAAATTTCACAGAAGAACTTGTGTAGTCCACAACACGTTAAGTTCAGAATATGTATGTAACTGGAATAAAGAAATATTTTTCGAATTTCTTTTAACTTTTTTTTCAATACGTAATTCAGTTGATGTTATTCATAATTAAAAATATGCATCAATTATTTGAAAGCACTCATATATATCTAGAAATATTTGTAGAAAATATAGAAATAGAAGATATGTAGCCCAAAAAGTAACAAGTTCAGAGTACGTGTATCGCTAACAAAAGTGTGGTTAATTAGAGAACTATTTTTAAATTTATGCAATGCGGGATTCATTTGTTAATGGTTTCATAATTCAGAGTGAGTGTCAATTTATTTGAAAACATTTATATATGTCAAGAAATATTCATTGAAATCTTGGTATACAAAGACAAACAATAGATGTACAGAGATAAAAGAGAAGAGATATCTTTCTGTGCAATAGATGTATACAAAAAGGTAGACATAGACAATAGATGCAGGCCTAAATTGAAATAATAAAAAGAGAACTTGTTTAGCCAAAACATGATAGTTCAGTGTATGTGGGGTAGGGATAGCCTGGTTGGTAGGGTGTTGGACTCTTGTTCGTGAAAACATGTGTGAGAATCCCGCCGGTTGAAGAATCCTCTTGTATTAACTAGTGACTGGTGCACGATAAACCTATCGGGGTAACAAAGTCCTCCAAGTTCTCATTACAAACCAATTCCTCTGAAGGTACTGATGTTAGACTTCCCTTGTCTTCTGAACTGGGTTCAAAATTGCAAGACTGCGAAGTTGAGCATTGGATGTCGTACCTCCAATAGAGGCTGGCTGTTCAACGACGGTTATAAAATAAAATTCAGAGTATGTATACAGCTTATATAAAGTAAGAATATTCTTGTAAATGGAAAAGAACAGTTATAGAGAAATTTTTTCCATTAGGGTATATGTATGTGTACAGCTTATATGAAGAGGACATTTGCGAAATTTCAATAATGTTTGAAAGTTTTACGAATTATTTTTAAGTATTTGCAACACGAAATTCATTTGAAACTGGTTTCATAATTAAGAGTGAACATCGATTTTTTTCAAAATGCTTATATATGTCAAGAAATATTTCAAGAAATCATAAGAGAAAACTTGTTTAGCCAAAGCATGTATTCATAATTCAGAGTATGTGTATAACTAATATATGAGAGGACACGTCGAACATTTTTAAAAAATTTTTGCAATGCAGAAATTATTTGAAAACTTGGCGAAGTATTTTTAAATTTTTACCGTAAGAAAATTCATTTGAAACGAAACTCATTTTATAATAAGGAGTGAGCGTCAATTCGTTTGTAAACACTTAGATATGTTAAAAAATATTTATAGAAAATAAAGTAAATAAAGTGTAAAGCATGCTAGTTCAGAGTATGTAAATTAGAGCATGTATATTTTGCTAGCATAGCATTTTCTATGTATTTCTTTTCTTCATATTATTTCTTTATCTTTTTTACAAAGCAGAAATTATTTGAAACTGTTATAATATTGAAAAGGGGGTGGCAAATTGTTTGAAAACATCCATAAATGTCAAGAATTATTTGTAGAAAATTTAAAAAAAGAAATTTAGAAGGGAAGCTAGAAAGATTTAATTCAAGACATGCTAAGTTCAGATTATATATATCATTAACGAAAGAACGGTCATTACTTTGTGTATTACTTACAAAAAGTGCGAAAACAATAAATTTATTGAAACTGGTGAGCAATCTGTTCTGTATTATGTTCATGTAAATAATGCTTATAGCTGAAAGCTTTTAAAACGCTATTTTCTATTTCAAGTCGAATTTTTTTTCTCCTTTAATTATAATATGGTTTGTACCTTTACTAAAGATTTGCAATGTAATTTTAGGAAGAGTAAATTAGAAATTACTTTTAAAAATTTGCACCTCACAACATTTTGTTTTAAAAAACAGAACCAAATCAAACAAATAAATCTAAAAAAATTAATTAAAAAATATATGTATTAATACATTAAATAAAATAACACACTTAAAAGCAATTAAATATAATAAAAAATACTATTTTCTATTTCAAGTCGAAATTTTTTTCTCCTTAAATTAGAATAAGGTCTTTAACTTAAATTACAATAAGGTTTTATAATAAGGTTTTAAAAAAACAGAACCAAATCAAACAAATAAATCTAAAAAAAATTTATAAAAAAGCATAGATTAATACATTAAATAAAATAACACACTTAAGAACAATTAAATATAATGAAAAATTATGTTATATACAAAAAAAAAAATTAAAGGACATTAAAAAGAAATGAAAACAAGAAAAAAATGTATTGATAATAAGGAAAGATTTTTGAAATATTTATTTAAACATGGAGGGGAACAACTGTGATTCTTTAAAGTTCGAAGCACATTTTTTTAAAATTTCAAAGTTCTATTATTGTTTTATAATATGATTTCATTATTAATAACTAAGCATTCATATTAATACTGTATGAGTTTCATTTTAAATTATACTTTTTTATTAATGTTGAAAAAAATAATCATTAATGTACTTTGAAAAAAATAATCTATTTTATTTAAATCAAATTATATTATTACTTTTTTCTAACGACTAACGGACACGCAATTTAGAAAAAAAAGAGTGCATTTTAAAATAATTTAAAGAAAATACAATAAACAACAAAAACAACAATTTTCCAATTTCATAAAATGTTTAACCTATAATTTATAAAAAATTTAAACATTTTTGATTTGAAAAAGTTTTGTTAAATTGTTTTACTTACAATAATGAAGATTTAAATGATACTTTTTTAATTTTTATTTATATTTTATTTCTAACTGAGAACAGTTCAAACATTTCCTAATAGATGTCGGCACTAAATACACTCAAATCTGGTGGAATTGTGATGAAATTTACTTTTAAATCCCTTTCTCCTTTTCTCCTAGGATAAATGTATTTTAGATATATTTCTCTTTTATTTTTGCTTTGATCTATTAATTATTAAATGGGATAGCTTTTAAAGTTAATAACATAACAATTTCAAATTTTGTTTTGCAATCAACAGTTTTTCAAAATAATTACTTAAATTTAGTTTTTAGTAAACTAAGTTTGTTTAATTAAATTTAGTTAATTTATATTTAGTTTAAAATAGTTTTATTTTTCCTAAAAGAGAAACGCAAAAGATTATTTATTGTTTTTTTTTATTAAAATTAAATTTTTCCATCTTAATTTAATACAAAACTTTTAAAAAAATTATTTAAAATTTTATATTTCGATTAAAAAAATCATCTGACTGTATTTATTTCATTTTAAAATTAAATTTCTTATGGATTATATTGAGATGCTTACTGCATAAGATAATTTCAGTTTTTTGTTTCAGCCACGTGATGGTTTTAAATTTATAAAGAAACTTGGAGTTGATTTCAATGCTGAATTTTACTCTTTGTGAGGACGTGTTCTAACAATTAATAAAAATTCAAATTGATACTAAAAAATTAGTAGATAACAAATAATTATGAAAATTTTTTCACTCTATAATTTATTTGTATTAAGCTGTCTTAAAATAAAGCTTGTAAAAGTATTCTTAATACTTTAGTTTTTACTTTCACTTCATATATCGCCTAAGGTACGATTTAAGAAATATATAGTGATGTCGATGTATGGAATAATGCCTTGTAATTCTGTTGTTATTTTAAACAATAATAAGACAATGGATAGATCCAAAATATATTTCAATTACAAAAAAAATTACTGTATCTGCCAGGGATCGAACCTGGGACCTTCCGCGTGTTAGGCGGATGTGATAACCACTACACCACAGATACGTAACGGGTATGGATGTAAGTAATATTATAAGCCTATTTATCGATCCTCTGTCAAGTGAATGTAATATATTAATCAGTTTTACAGAATATCGCAAAATGCGTGACTCAAATTAAAAAGAGAAATCTAATTTTCCCCTTACTACTCACTATTTCTTATTTATTTCTTGAAATTATATTTCAAAATTATATAATAATTATGAGAAAAAAATTGAGAATTTGCGACTTTTCCTAGCCGTTGTCTCTAAAAAAATAATTAAATTATAAAAATTTATTACAATAACTTTACATTTTTGCCTTATATTTAATTTTTATTTCTACAGTTTTAAAAAGAAATATAAAAAGCGAGATTTTATTTATTTATCTTAAACTTCATGTTACTGATTCCAAACGTTTTCGAAAAAAGCTTGATTTAAATTTCAAAATTTTAATAATTTAGGAAACAGTTAAACATTTTATTATTTTTGTTTTTACAACAACAGGCAAAGAGGTGTATACTGAGGAGGGGAGAGGGGAATTCTAGATGCGCTTTTCCTCTTTATTTAATTTCAATAAATAAACTGTATGTAGAGTTGGTCATTTACTCTGTCTATAAGTTTCTTTTGAAGAATCTTATAAAACAGGAGATCCTCCCCTAATCAAACTGGGGGAAATATAAATCGAACGAGCATGATTCTAGAATTCCATTTTGAATTTATCTGGCAATATTATACAAATACCATTCTCCATTCATCATTTTTTAAAAGATAGTTCATATTACGCATTTCTCATTACGGAGCCAAACTTAGGCTCGCATAATTTTATTGCTTTTCTTCGTTTTTAAAAAAATTCGTAGAAATTCTAAAGATTTCAAGTAATAATTTTCAAATAATTATTCTTCCTAATCTTCTAGAGCTTAAACCTTAATTTCTCACCTTTTTCGGGAAAGATACTCATCAAAGCGAACTCATCAAGATGTTATCAAGGAAAGAAACATTTAATCGAAAATCCAAAAGTGGATCAGAGGCTCTTAAGTTTAAAGCTGAATCAGAGGATTAGAATATAATATAATATAATATAATATAATATAATATAA